ATGTGAATGAAATGGCTGCAAAACATTTCTTGTCAAGTATAAAAAGTCCATCGAAGAACAATTTAAGGCAAGCATAGTGTTAAAGCCAAACAGCTAGGAAGTTGGAGTTGATTTTAAGGTACACACTAGGCGACATGTCGCTGCAACACGTCTCCGTGACAGATAACTTCATGTTAACAGGTCTGGCGACAAATCGCTTCGTTTCTACTGGAGAATTTTTGTGAAAATCTAGTCTCCGCCTTTTTAATTATGTTGCTGTTGATGGTAATATCGATTTAACTTAAAACTACATTTTAACAAACTCGTAATCCATAGTCACTTAGTGGTAAAAAGCTCATGGCGAGCGGAGGAGGATGAAATCACTTTTAAGGCGATTGAAAAATATCGGTATGGTCTCCGTATTACTCATATCCAATTAGCATTGGAAAACCAGTGGAGGAGATGGACTCTGATATTTGAATGTATCATGTTTCGTTACAGCTGTCTTAGAGAATTAAACCTTGAAGGAAATCAGCTTGGTGCCATGCCAGTAGGAGCTCTGTATCTTAATATCAAGTACCTTAGAATAAGCAACAATTTTACACATCCTCTTCTGTGGCGAGAAACAGCAACAAACCAACCACAGGTGAGAAGAATAGCTACGATGACTTAATAGGCCCTTGGTCACGTGCTTGGATACCACTTAGCAACGGCTTGATGGATGGCACACATCCAAGCGTTCATTCCGATTACAAAGCTTTGACTGCAATAGGGCGAAGCATTCCTTTTTCTGTTAAAAAAACAGCAAAATGACTGGACTACGAAACTTAAAAGACGTTTGAATCAACCAGGGAAAGCTTTGCCCGATCGCACTTCAATCTGAATAAACACCCGGATGGTTTGCTATCCAGCGAGCCGTTGCTAAGTGATATCTAAGAGCGCGACCAAGTTCTGCAAAGGAATAATTTGGCTTACAATGCGTTCTAGAACTTCTTATTTGATGGATCAGCAATGCCACTGTTTTGATAATTGGCCTTGCTTAACGGCAGAATACCCTGCCGTTTTGAAGCAGCCCGTAAAAGTAGGTGGATACGCGTATCCACGTATTCGCGGATGCATTATGGTGATTCGAAAATAGAGAACTGACTAAAATAACGCATGTTAACCGGTTCCAGTCCACCGGTAGGCTGATTTCATACAGAAACGAGGGTTGTTCTTCGTTTAGATGATACTATTGCGAAATTTCGCACGGGAATGAAGTTGTTGCCCTGGTAGAGCAACCAGGGTGAACTCACACCGGTCTGACATTTTTTGGTGCTATCCGGGAGGAGTACTCAACAAATGTTTATACGGGGAGGCTCTGCCCCGAGGTCCAATCCCATACCCTTTTATATACCTTTTTTCACGAAAAAGGTACCCCTTATACCTTCTATTGACAAATGGTACCCCTTTCACATACCTTGTTTAGAACTTTGCATCCCTTTTACTTTTACAGACCCAAATGACAGATTTCCATATCCTTTAATATACTTCAACCAGTGAAATCCCTACCCTTTCATATACCTGAAGCTTGAAAAAGGTCCCCCTTTCGGACGGAGCCTCCCCGTATAGGCCATTATAGGGAGTCCCCCCCGGGGGTATGCATCTAAACGAATACAGAACCACCAGAGGCACAGAAATGAGCCGAAGCAGGGGCCCGTTTTTCGAAAGGCTCGCTAACTTTACGGTTCTGGAGGCAAATTTTTTTAAAATCAAAACTTGTTGAATAGTAGCACGGTTCCTAGCTCGCATACCGGTCAATATTTGCTTCGTTAACTGATACTGTTATTGTATCAGTTTAAAATTATTGAAACTTTCATCTTTAGTGCAAACATGGCAAACTAAAAAAACAGCTTTTCGGGCCCGAAAGGTTATTGGGACCTTGGGGCCCCGGGTAGGAAAGTCACCTCGGTACCTTGTTAACACCCCCGTGTATTGTTCTCCTCAGAGAGAAAGTTGACGGTATTTTAAAAAGGGCCAATCATTCGTTCACAAACTGTGTTCATGTTGTTTTATGGTACCTTAATGGTTTTTCACTCGCAAACGAGCAGACCCCCCATTATTCATTAACGAGTTGCAAAAAGGAAGTTTTAAATCTGAGTTTTCTTTGATAAGTTAAAAAAATGTGGGAGATGGCTCAATGCCCCTTTACGGAAATTTCTTAGACTTTGGGAGAATTTGAATCTTGACATGTGAAGTAGTATAAGTAGAGTAAGAAGAGTATTTATGTCTAATTTGAGTCTATATTTTATTATTGTGTTTAGCGACTTGGTGACCTGTCAGCTCTAGCTGTGTTCAAGGAAGGAATTCACTTTAAAAATAAAAATTTACCGGCAGCAATTAAAAATATTATGGAAAGGTGAGCACTTCATACTATTTCCTCTCTCTAGTCAGGTGTAAATGAATGAATAAATGAATAATAAATAAATAAATAAATAAATAACGTTTGAAGCTCCAGACCGAGTTCGATCGAAGGATTAGGTCTCGAAATTTCTGTCGTTCCACGATCTACCGTGTATTTGTTGCGTGGGAGGCTAGAGTGTTGCTCGTTGTGTTGTAGGAAATGTTGTGTGCTGCAAGAGATGTACAAGCGATATTCCGTGCATTGGTTCGTGCGATTTGGCAAATGATGCTGCGCGCAACAATTGCATGCATTGGTGTTTGCGATGTTGCAAATGATGCAGCGCGCAAGAATTGCGTGCGAGTTTGCAACTGATTCTACGCGAGGTGTTGGAAGCCTTCTCTGTTGCTTGCGATATTGCGAGTGATGCTGGGTGCTATGTTGCAAGCTATATTGCGTTCAAAAAGCGTATATTGCTGCAATGTCGCATGATGGAGAATGTGTGAGCTGTTGGCACTAAGCTGCGTTCGATGTCAACAAGAGCCATGGTACGTGCAGTGTTCAACACATGTTTCACACATTTAAGGTGATGTTACACGAGACGATTCGCAACGATTTTTAGCGCAACACAGCGTTGTAGTATTGTCGCGACATCGTTTCGGATGGTTACAACATTGCTCCACCATTGCAACGCTGTGTTGCGCTAAAAATCGTCGTTGCGAATCGTCGCGTGTAACATCACTTTTCACAAAATTCTCTCGGTTTCTTTCTCGATCTAGTTACACTCGTTGCGATTGCTGTGATGGTCCGATGTTTGGCCCAGGGGTACGGGTCATCAAAGCTCCTCCGGAAATGTTTGGTATCAAGAATCTTCCCTTTCTCTTCAACGCCTGCACACAAACTTGCAGAAGACAGTTCAGTAAAAGTCCCCAGTCACTACAGGAGTGGATGAAAAGAAACGTACCGCTAAACACATCCTTTTAAGAGAGAGGTTTAGATTTGATGACGAGTACGAGTACGAGATTTAACTTAAATTTTAGCGCGTGTTCTCAAAAAAAAANATTGCAACGCTGTGTTGCGCTAAAAATCGTCGTTGCGAATCGTCGCGTGTAACATCACTTTTCACAAAATTCTCTCGGTTTCTTTCTCGATCTAGTTACACTCGTTGCGATTGCTGTGATGGTCCGATGTTTGGCCCAGGGGTACGGGTCATCAAAGCTCCTCCAGAAATGTTTGGTATCAAGAATCTTCCCTTTCTCTTCAACGCCTGCACACAAACTTGCAGAAGACAGTTCAGTAAAAGTCCCCAGTCACTACAGGAGTGGATGAAAAGAAACGTACCGCTAAACACATCCTTTTAAGAGAGAGGTTTAGATTTGATGACGAGTACGAGTACGAGATTTAACTTAAATTTTAGCGCGTGTTCTCAAAAAAAAAAGAGAGAGCCCGGAAAGCTTCATTTTACTTTCTTTCACCAACAAAGTTAGTACGGTTATTTATACTGAAGGGGGTTAAGCCCTCTCCCGATGGCAAAATGATAAAACTTCTTACATTTGATCACTTGTTCCTGCCACTACGACATTCTCGCTAAAACTCGTAGTAGAGTGACGACGGCTACCACGTTTTCCCGCCAAAAATGACGCTGGTTCTCGCGAGAGCACTACTCAGTATTGAGAAATCTCATATTCGTAGTAGTCTTCGTCTCAGAATCTAAAGCTGTCTAATTGCAGCGTTTATAGTCAACTCAGGATAAACCAATAAATACTAGTGGGCATAATATATGACGGCGCAGTGAGGGGAAAATGGCCACGCCTTAAGATGTCACGAGAGAACCGTTTGGTGGGTTTGAACGCCCTACAGAACAATGCTGTTCCATAGGTTTCACTCGAAAGGGTATGAGCAAAAGGCCCATACCGTTGATTTACGATTCTACCAAGACAAGAAACGTCAGGCAAGATATATACACAGAGGAACTGATATATTTTAGTAAAAGAAATAACACAGAGGTAACTTTCTCTGTCTAATGGATAAATTTGTTTCAAAAGTTGCCATATTTTTGTGAGGTAAATTTGTAGCAGTATACATTAAAATGTATTTATACAAATGAAGGTAGCATAACGTAATTCTTTGCTAAGTCTTTCGGTTGCTTTACATGTGATTAACACACATGACTGTCCGACTGTTTCAAACCAGTTCCGGGTAACCTGGTCTCGACCTTCCCACTGCGGTTTCCTGTCTATCTCTGGTTAGAAAATAGTTATTGCTGAGTTTATTTCGTGTTCTAAAATCAAATCGACCTAATGTTGGTTGAACAGCGATGCAGAGTCAGCTCACGATTTAGCTTGTCAACGCGTTTATTTCTTCTTCAAAATAATTTATTTATAATGACTAACTCGCGAATACACTTAAGCATTCCAGTTATTTCCTTTGATAAACTGTACAATTCATGTTATTTACAATGTGTTTCTAAAACTCTTAAACGCACGTTTTAACACTAGGAGATATATTATTTAGAGAGGATGCCTAGAAACAGTGAAAGGCGTGAAAATACACGAAGGGTTGAAGGGATGCCATTTTGAATACAACTTGCTAAACAGCAAGGAGAGTCCTTGAATGAAGATCGTCGCCAGAGAACTGGAACCTAGTTTACGATTACTGTCTTTTCCCGCTGACTGCTGGGGGTGGAGCCTTGTAGCCTCGCCTTCCTTGCTGCATCCTTTACTCTTTGAAGGTGAAGCGGAAGTGGAATTTTGTCCAGTCGAGGGTAGTTGGGAAGGCGCACGGCATTCTGGTAACGATCTAAAACAATACTAGAAAAAAATGAAGTACAGATTTTACATCTGGAATTTTTATGACATATCCTTGATTGGTAAATATCTAGCCTGAGAATACAGCCGTCGCTCCCCGCCGCTAGAAGCGTTTACGAGCGGCAGAAAGCGAGGAGAGAAGGCTGTATTCGCAGGTTGGTAAACATCTGGGTAGTTGATGATTCTTCAGAAAAGAGACAACTAACCCTCTGGAACAGTCCTTCAATGCAATTTAGTCAAAGTTAAATTCGAGACCATGCCGGCCAGCTGTCTTTCCCTAGAATTCGCAGGGGCGGCCGTGGGCCTTTCACAGGGGCGTCTGGGATTTTAAGGCTATCATGCTCAGGTCACCTCATTTCACTTGTGTTTATTTCTGCTCCCTTCCCAGCCCTCCCTTTGGTAAGTATGTGGTAAGTATAGAGCGTTTCCACTCACGTGGCCAGCATCTGTGCAAATTTATTGGAACAAAAGAAGACGTTAGCATAAGAAAAGAGTTCAACTCCCACGGGACTGGTTTGGGACACCAACATGGCCGCCGTTTCATTGTTTTGGGACACCAATATGGCCAACGTGAAGTCATATGAAAACAACTCAATATTTAGTTTCCACTGGTTAGCAGTGTGAAGGTGCCCGGGTGGTTGCCACTCACAGGAGTGTCATGGTTACTCGCTGCACTCGGCTGCAGTTTCTGGGCTCCACCAGCTTCTCAGGCACCTTCCCCCCACGCCCCACCCATGAGTTTAACATAAAGTATAAGATTTAGTATCATAGTACTTACTTCACAAACTGCTTGACCTCTAAGAGATGTGTCTCGTAATTGTCTTTGTTTGTTGGTGGTTTTGCTTTGGCGACAGCCTTAAAGTAACATCAAAAACAATATTTACTTTATTTCAATACCTAACCTAAATGCCAGCCCTGTTAAAACACCTCTTTCGCAGGCTTCTGTACAAAGCGAACGGATAAAATTCGCCACTTTAAAAACGAGAAGGAACTGGGCCGAGTTGACTTTCGCCAAGACTTCTGGGACTGTCACTAGGGACAGAACCAGTAACCATGCCAACAGCTGATCGACGCATGCTCAGTAACAATCCCAGAAACAATTGCGGGACGCACTTCGGCTCCAGTTTTTTCTCGCTTCTAGAGTTGCGAATAAATCAAAGTGACTAACGGTAAGAACTGTAAATTAACAAAATGCGTTTCGTAGACTCCTACCTTGAGTTTGGATCCAACGTTAAAACGAGCTGTGTGCTTTCCGTGATTAAAGGTGAGAACCGTTTTATTCTGAAATAGGAAACACACTTTTTGAAACTCTATAAACTCTCCGGATCATTATACGTTTCTGGGAAACTGCCCACCTACCCCTCCCCTAAGACAATTAACATTAACACTTACTTTTCACTTACGGCAAAATGTTGGCTTAGGGGAGGGGTAGGTGGGCAGGTTGCGATTTTGGGAATTCACAAGTTAATCCTGCTACTAAAATCACGACAATAAACACTCCGCGCATTCCTGGAACAACCAAAGGAGCCCATCACTATAAAATCACTGTAAAATACGATGATTTGTATGAAATTGTCCACCGAAACATCAAACATACTGTATGCTCTCGTTGAAGTGAAACGCGGCAAAAGTCAAGTAACCATACCAACTAGCTCAATGAACCAATCAGAGCTCATTATACATATCCATGTAACCGTTAAAAAGCGCGGAAAAACGCCGAAAGCAACTCACGCTGTCTAGCTTATCTGATTAAATGAGAGGGTGGCACTTTGAAATTTTAGCCAACAAAGCGAGCAGTGCATAATCAATGCAATTGGTAAGGTGTTTTTGTGATAACCGACAGAATACTGCTCCGTTAACATACTCTTATGCCACAAGTAGGGATGGGACTTCTACAAATGATTGCAAAATTTAAGTGCGTAGTTACTTCTACCTAAGAAAAGGACATGGCTTCAGTTTTAGATGAAAGTGGATAATCATAGTACAGGAAGTAGAACCGTTGTCAAAATAGAAGGCATTGCTCAACCCCTTATTGTGACGTCACAATAGTCAAAAGATAATCTGCGCGAACAATCTTTCAATATCAATACATAATCAAGAGAAGAGGTCAGGAGAATTAATAAAATTATCACTAAGGGGAAATGCTATGATTTTTTGACAAATTCTCTCAACTCATTCTTTAAGGATATGCATAAAGATCGGTTTGGAGAATCTGCATGCGGAAGTTGGCGTTTGAAGGATTTAAAAAGCATCGACACCAGTACCTGAGATAAGCATCTGATTGACAGCTGCTTGGTGATCATGAATGTGATTGGTTGAAAAGGTGGGGCGTGCACGTGCTCCTTCAAATTATGCCAGAGCCATTTCTTCTTCCGAGCACCTTTGTTATCCAGCAGAACGCCATAGAATGGATTTAACACTAACCTAAAAAAAACAAACCAAATGCGATACATCGTCAAGATGCTGCTACTACAAGGGAGATTTCTGTTCTAGTTTGAAACGTAAAGGCCTTCAACAGTATTCATCTTGCCCCTTATCGATCCATAGAAAATGGTTGCATAGTGCTTCTTCATCGATAACAGTACTGAGAAAATAAGAAATTCAGTCAGAGTTGAGTCTTTTTCTTACTGAATCGGTCATTTTTCGAACAAACTACAATAAACAGTGTTTCTTTATTTAAGCCTGAATACATATGGCATGAAAGTACTAATAGAAGAAACTGTTTTATGCCCCCTACTGCAGCCTGCGTGGCCGGCGATTTTGTCTGACGAGCGCGCAAATGAGCGAGGAAGCTGCAAAAGCGCGCGCGAACGAACGGCGAAGCGTTGTTTCCGCTTCGCCGTTCGCCATTGACCCTACCCTACAAAATCGCCACCTGCGCAAAATCGCTACTCCTACTGGAGTGTGGATTACCATTTTTACATGGCCACCCAATTCACTCCAAGGTTTTCCTTCTGCAAGGCAGAGGCAGTACCTGCAGATGTGGAATAAATTTGCACAATTTCTCTAGACTGCATTGAAATGTTGGCTTAGGGAAGGGGTGGGTGGGCAGTTTTTTAGGAACGTATGATGATCCTTGTTTCCCTTTGGAGCTAAAATGTGATGTTCTTTCACATAATACGCTCCTAAAAAAGCGGCAGTTACGTCCATGGCGCTTAGGAATGGATAAAGAGTAACATGTTTTGATTTGCAACACAGCAACCGAAGTTACTGTATGTCTGCTCATATGGCCGGTCAAGAGAAAATAATCGTCTTCTCACCCACATAAAATATTTCACTCAAACTAAATACCTACCTGACTTTACCATCTCTAAAGTAACATGTTCCATGACCAGACGGCTCGAATATTGCTAACATCCTAGACGGGTTGGATTCGTTCTCTTCATCGTCCTAATCCAGGAACAAGAGTATTAAAAGGTTAAGCTAAATCGATTGCCTTCACTACGTGTGGAAATACCGTAAACGTCCGCTTACAAGACCCCCTAATAAGCTTCCCCAGTTATCGGCCCGAGCAGTATCCCATAACAATAATTATATAAAAAATTTAATCCACAAGGTTTTCATCAAGGTGAATCCACTCATCGTCACGTTGAAAACCGCATACGGCAAACGCCAAATACAATGAATGACATGAAATATGGTCACGTGATCATCACTGCCGCTTGACAGAAAAGGGGTATTTTTGGCGCGAAGCCTATTCTGCCTGCAGTTAGAAGCATGCTTCTGCAGCAACACAAGCTATGTTTAGCTTCTTTTCACTTGTCACGCAAATCTTATCTCTGAAGTCTCTCTATATTTGCGGGTTAGTCAGCAATATGACAAAAAGGGAGTTCACATGAGTTCTAAGGGGGATAACTGGCTCAAAATTTCAAAGTAGTTCGTGTGCTCCGAGCCAAAATTTGAAGATGGGTATTTAGGACATTAGTCGTAGAATGCGAAGTCAGCTACTTACATCGAACACTATGTAAGTGAACTTTCCTTTTTCTTTAGCAGTTATCATGACTGCAATATTACCACTTGGATAACTGAACAATGACGTCAAGAAAATTCAACAGATTTAATAGTTATAGAGAGAGTAGCAAATGATAGAAAAACATCAAACTTTCTAGCCTGATAAAAAAACACATTTCGCAACGTTACCACTGGAGCGTCTGAGGTTCGAGCGCAGAAATTCCATACTGATGACGTGACACTACCCAGATCGAGGTTGTGCTTCCGATTGGTTGTGCCGGAATGGAAATTTGCTTCAACCAATCAGAAGCACTACCCAGACCTACGTAGTGACACGTCATCAGTATGGAATTTCTGCCCTCGTTCTTCAAACGTCAGTTTGCCGGGAAACAAGCAGTGGTGTCAAAAAATTGTGGCTGCTTTCTCAAGTTACAAACTTTCGCGAAAAGCGATTTTCAGCGCACTTATGTCTGAGAGCGGCAGGTGAGTGAGAAGTTTATGTCTATGGATGATTTCGAGTTTGAAATTCATCCCAGAGTTTGTTTGGAGCTTCTAATCAAACGCGAAACCAAAATACAGAAACACTAGTATCTAACAGGGAAGTTTTAAGAACCGGACCCTAATATCCAGCTCCAATCGAAAGCACGGATGGGAGTAGGACGATGAGGAAGCAATCTAGTTGAGAATGCAACAAGGATACTAGCAAGTCCCAGTTCCATCTGGGAGCAGAAGAAGAAACCTTCGCTTGTTTTCGTAAAATCTCTCCAGAAATGCCTGCTTCCTCTGTGATGGAAAAATGAAAATAACAAATTTACGTGTTACCGTCTTTTATTTACCTGTCTCTCGTAAAATGGATAACACCTACGAAAGAACACAGCTTTTACACCGTGGGAAGAACTATTTTCTCCCGTATTTTTCTTACATTATATCTATAGTTTTGTTTTCTTTACGGAGGATAAAGCGGTCACACTAGATTTGTTTCCCGCGGGACTAGCCGTGTGCAGTGCGCCATTTAGGCGGGAAATTTCTTACCAGTTCATCTGATTGGTTGAAACAGGTTTTCGTGGTTATGGACTATGAACTGTGGTAAAATTATCTCAGGAAAAACTGGTCGCACGCTCAGTTTTATTTTTCCTAAAATAATGGACTTTTTTTAATCCTGCAGGAAAAAAACTCAACGGAACATAGACTGTGATCTCCTAGCCTTCTACGAAAAAGAGAGAGTTGACGACGTTGACGGCGGCGAAAACGTCAGTACCAAATTAAAGTGACTTCGCGTTTTTTGAAACGTGATTATTCCAGCTCGCTCACATTATCAATTGTAGGCGAACTCTCCTGGAGCTGAATTCCTAAGAAAAGTATTCAAGTTCAAAAAGGGGAAGAGAAATTCGTCTTCGTTTGTTTACGTTCTCCACAAAACGTGAAAGTTGGCAACTTCACGTCACAGTCGTGCCGTGACGGCAAAGAAGGGTACAAAAAAGCGTGATGCACGTGCAAAGTTGTTTTTTTGCTAATCTTGTTTTTTTTATGCTCTCGTTGCCGTCGGCCGTTTTTCTATTTTGCGTCTCATGATAAATGCCCCGGACTTCACAACAGTTCATTTCAATTCTATGCGATGTACTTACAAGCTGAAGAGGATTGACTTCAATAACAAATGGATCCTGAATTTGTTCACCGTCTGACAGTGATGGAGACTCGGGACGGACCGTCCATCCCTCCTCCATGCACTTGGTAGAAGCCAAGGAATAAGTGATAGTTTTCATCTGACGAGTTACTATGGAAAGAGTTAAAACAGCACCTGTTAGATAGCTTTGCAATAAGGGTGTTAGGAGGAGGAACACTACAAGAGAGAACTCAAAATCCTTCGAAATCGCTCAGAATACCTCTTTTGAGACAAAAGGACGACAATACACCGCAGGTAAGATAATACAACGTATATTTAACACTAATTCATAGACATATTTAGCGATATATTGCCATAGACGAAGCAAACGGTAATTCCAATAAATTTACACAGTGGACAGAATGGTGGACCCCTTGAGCTTTAGCCACGCAAAGCGCGAGGAATCCATCCCGATATCCTTTGCGAATAAGTTAACTATATCGCGCGTGGAGTCTTAACTGGGTCAACTCACATGCATAGAAGTTCGTAGGATTAGCACCGGCAGCCCGTTGTCTCTCCATTTCACGTTCTCTGGCGCGTTCTGCTGCTCGCTCCTTGGCTGCTCTCCTCGCGGCTTTGGTGCCATAAGGTGGGTGGGGCTTAATGTCAATCATTTCGTCAACCAAATGAGCAGTGTCTGATCTCTGGGCAAGCTCAAATTTCACAAAGCGTTCATACTGAGGACAGCAGTAAAGCTGAAAGCAAAAGTAACAGTTTGTATGGTATACAAAATTACTCAGATGTGAGATGCCAGATTTGTACGCTTAAATAGTTGGATATCATCATATTTTTGCATAACAACACTCCTGAAGCTGGCGGATGATCCTGTTTGGTAAAATTTTACTATTAAAGTCACATAAAAATATGGATCATGTGTTCAACCCCCCCCCCTCCCCCAACCCCCCTGAAAGGAAAGCCCTAAGAACATCTAAATGGGAGGATAACCCTCACATCGTCACATTTCAAGCAAAAAGAAGGCTTACAAACCCGGACTCAAGAGCTATTTATATACTTAAAATTAGCCTGTGAGCAAGCTCTCCATTTGAGGGAGTTGAAAGAAGTCATGTGAGAGCAGCACACGAAAGGAGATGCAAGTATGAGGGGTGGAGAAGGAAAGCCCCTGGATTGCGCGTTCCGTCACAGCTTGCTTAGCAAGCAATAAATGAGGAAAGCTTGCTCACAGGTTAACTTGAAATAAAAACCTTACAAAAACATTTGAGGACTCTTTTGTAAATCACTTATCAGTGAAATTGATATCCTCAATAAAGACTATTATTATTATTTATATGTTGAGTCTCTTAAACCACAGTCAAAGTAAGAGCCCATTTAAACATTTATAACCAACCTATTATTGCAACTTATTTACGTGCTGAGGACCTTGGATTTCACAGTTAAATATCTGTAATCCCTGCAAACTTTCTTAATGACCCAACATGTCAAAACATATTATTTGATTCATGCAACAATAACTTATAATGATTTTTTGGAAAATCACCTGATCAGGGGTCAATCTCTCCAATTCTTCAATGGTTGGAAACGGCAATATCTCCTCATGACAAAACATGCACGGACCACTATACATACTCTTCTTCAACATTTCACTCTTGGCAAGCTCTTCTCTATCTTCAACCTCTTCATTAGACAATGGGGGGTGTTGAGACTCTTTCATGTATTGAAGGATAGCGGGAGGACCAATACTTGGTAGTAGATACTCTTGTTCTGCAACATAATCTTCAAAATCAGCCTCTGAAGTACTGTCAGAGTCTGGTTCCACTGTGGGAGGGCGGAACAGAACATCCTCACCCTTGGGGGTACGTGGCAGTGAAGACACGACTGATTGGCGAGATCTGGGGACTCCCCCAGATGATTTGGACTTGCTTCTCCCAGAGCTTCCTAGAGAAATAAATAAAAAGCAAATCTTCAGAATTAGAGACCCTTAGATTCTAAGACACGTACGACAACGAGTACAAGATTTTTTCAATACTAAGTATAGTGCTCGTGCAGGAACCAGTGTCATTTTGGTAGTTGTCGTCACTCTACTACAAGTTATCAAGTGTTAGAAGTTTTATCATTTTGTGCCAATTTTTTTCTCACCGAAAGGAAGCACTATTTAAATCATGAAATAAAAAATGGGGGTCACCGTACTCGTTTTTGCAGTAGAGCTGCAGAAAGTGCGCACCAAATGCATTTTAATTGATTCTTGAGAGAGGACTGGGGTGAGTTTCAAAATAGAATGTATGCGAAAGGGGGAAGAAATTATTAAAAATCCGTTTTTACAGAATTTACATCGAGATATCACATTTAGGACACTATGTGGTAAAGAAAGTGTTTAAATGAAAATCAAAGTGAATAAGCACTAACATCCACTATCGAGGTTCTCCGTGAGGAAGTCGAACTCAGCAACACGCTTACTGCTTACGTTATGCACATTCCCACCACATTGAGTCTCACCTCGGCAAGAAACAACCACAAGCAAAAATTGCAATAGCGTTTCTCTTCGGTCAACTTCATTTTAATGATGTTACTTCACATGCTCTTTTTTATGGAGGCCATCTTGTTATGCGCAGTAAGAGATGCACAGTGCAAAACCAGGGAATCACCTTAAGGTGCGTGGAAAAGGGTTCCAGTCACTTGTGATCTCAACTTAAATTCTCCCTTTGATAAAGACTAAACATAAGGCAATTTAATGCAGGGGGAGAATCTAAATTTCATCAAAAGTCACCCTAGCTTTTTTTTCAAAGCATCTTTTGAAGAGTAAGCTTATTTAAGTAATGACCTTCCTCTGGCCCAGTGTAGCTCTTCTTTGTTTCAGTTCCTTCCTCCACCTCAGGAAGTGATACATTCTCTTCATCTTTCACAGGTGCACCTTTGTCACTGCTAATTGATGTTCTTCTTCCAACAGATTTTTTCTTCCTCCTTTTGATGGAGCCAGCATGGCCGTTGGCTAAAAGAACAAACCACAGTTATCAACATTTTGTCCACGATAATCTTAAGATGAGATGATTCTGCTAGCTACCCAGGCTATTTTCAGTCTACTCAGGGGAATTTCAGAAGTTTCAAAGTAGGTGGCTTTATTATTGAAGAAGGTGGCTAGTGTTGCTATTAGTTTATTAAGAAATTTATATAAGGAAAAGCCCTGTACAGCAGCTGACCAAATTAGGTGCTGATTTTTTCCAGCTGCCAACTGTTTTTGACAACCCTGTTCTCATATGCATTGTGAACCATTGTTTCTCTATATTTTTTGCAGCCTTCATGTTGCCACCCCCTTCCCCATGAAGACGGAAAATGGAAGCTACATGTAGGTTTATATTATTTTAGGTGGCAAAGTATTTTTATCAACTTGTGTGCATGTCGAGTTTTCACGTTACCTGATGGTGACGACATTTTCCTTTCTGTTCTGTTTGCCCACTCGGGTTTAGATTTATTTGTTATTTCCTGGTACAATTCCATATCCTTCAACCAGCTCCACTCAGTCTGGGTACAAGTTGAAACAACCTCAACTGTGGTATTACCAGCATGAGATATGAAACTCCTCTCTTTTTCCACAGATTGGAAAGAAGATTCTTTTTTCTCTGCTCCTTCTGCTGTTGATGAAGAAGAACTTGCTGATGATGGCCGGCTATTTGATGAGTCTTTGTTGAAAGAAAGAATGTCATGGGCTACTCGATCATGATCTTCACTTGACGAATTCACTGCATTCTTGTCCAAGTTTTCACTTTTGATACTCTGTGAAGTAACATCCTCTGCTTTTTGACTTTTTTCTGACTCATCTGTTGCAACCTCACACGCAGCTATTAACATTCCACGCATCCCAGTTTGCGCTAACATTCCTGAAGGCTTCTTAGGGGATACAATCCCTCTAGCAGCTACATCAGCAGAAAGTTTTTCAGGATCTAATTGATCTTGTTGTTTTCCCACACTCGCAAATACATCACCTTCAAGATGCTCTGGAGAGCTAGTTCTACTTATAACCGATGATGAGCTTGAATCCGGTCTTGGCGGTTGTTCGTCTGTAGTTTTTGAGTCCTTTAGACCCCTTTCGTCTTCACTCATTTCACGGTAAGGCTATTATGTTGAGGAATTCGGAATAAAGTAAATGCCACAAATTTACAAAAATACCTCCTGCAGCTGACAAACCGGCTAGAAAGTGACGGCTTTCTTTCAGCTCAATCAGGCATAAACTAAGAATACGCTAGTAACGGCTTTTGTACTATCTAATTTGCCTTGTCACATTCCAATCCGATCTAGAAAAAGAGTAGGAAATAAGTTAAGAAGCCCCATGTCTTCTTCACTTTATAGCTTTATGACTTCGTGAAGAAGCAAATCAATTTTGGTTGCTACTAGTAGCGAGCCTCAGACTCAGGATGACAAAATCTACTCTCCGGGTAGGGGTAATGTTCCTAAACCTTCGAGGAAAAACGAAGTTTGGCGATTGTTAACGACATTACACCGATAGTTGGCGACGCGCACCGAAATTGAATTGATCTCGTCCCTTCCGGGGGTAAGTAAACCGCAGAGGAACCGCAAACAAATAACTTTCCAGAGTGGCTTGAAATCGTCAATTGTGCATGTCGTTGGACATGTGCCTTGGATGTTCGGGTGTAGGAAGTGAAATTATTGAAATCTAAGGGTCTTCCGGCGTTTAACAAGTTCTCTTGACTTGTTCCTGTGTGGTAAATAAGCGTCTAAATGGCTGGGAATATTGTGGAGGACGAGGCGTTCGTGAGCCTTGTCACTAACAACGGTTATGCAAATGGCGCGCTTGTTCTCGGGTACTCCCTACGACGTGTCAATACAACGAGAAAACTGGTGCTGCTCGTTACAAGGGAGGTGCTAGAGCCAACGAGGTAAGGATCAAGATGCCTTAAAGTTAAGCTTTCGTTTTCAACTCGTGTGGTGTAGTTTTTTATCTAGGAAACATGGAACACACGATCAAGACGATCAACATATATGGCGACGGGTCAAAGCGTTAAAGATCTATTTTGAAACAGGCAGATTGGCCCGTGTGTTCTCCATTCGTTACTGTTCCAGATTATTGTTCTGTTACAGTACAAAAGTAGAAGCACCAATTTAGAGATGTATCGAAACAAAAATCGAGTTACGCCCAAGTCTCCTCATGCAAGCATGCACTTGGACAATTCAATAAGCAATTCAAGTGCACTTTGTCCAGTGGCCATGCTAATATATAAGTTAGATTAATTTGCTACACTTTTATGTTTTGATTTTAAATTGATTGGAGGAATTTGGTGACATGTCAAGTACTAGGTTACGGAAGTTATGCATCAGTAGACTGCTCTTGCATGAGTTCATGATGGTTGGTCAAGGGCCAAGATGGTGGGAAATTCAAAGATTGTTATGGAAATTAAGGGTTGCAGTGTCACCAAGATTTAGTGCTACTTGTAAATCCAATGTGTGTGTTTGTAATTGACGTTCTATAGTGGTCTAGCCTTGCTAAAATTTACTAAACTAGGACTTCGAATAGGAAATGAAGGATAAGCCAAGTTTACCCAATCATGCATGTAAGTCTGCCTATGTACAAATTACATTATTTAGCTTAGTTTATTTCACCACAAAACAGCATGACTAATGTAACAACTTGGTATAGTACAGTCTAACATTGATATACATGTAACAAACCTCTATATAAAGAAGTCTTTGGTATAACGAGTGATTTTCTTTACCCCAATAATAGTAAAGTATATGAAATAGAACTAATAGAAATAGAACTTGATATAACTAAACCTCATTATAGCAAACACATTTTACCAGGTACTTGGCCATTCGTTTTAAAGAGGTTCCACTGTACACCCAGGTATAGTAGTCATGCTGTCCACTAGTTTTGTCATTTCTGGAAATAAATTACAGAGAAAAGCAATGTAGACTAATGGAACAACACAGCAAATTAAATGAAACTTCGTCTTGCATCTGCGTGGATTTGCAAGAACTTGGTAGACATGATCACCCATCATACAATCAAGAGCGTGAACTGGTCAAGTTTTTCCTGTAGTTAGTGTGGGTATTTCCCTGGTTTGAATTTCAAATACAGTCGTTTCGCATTTTGAGGAGTAGGCCATGTCCCTGTCGGTATTTAACCCATCTTTATGTCATTTGTTGCCATTTCACCTAGTCTTATGTCACTGTTTCAAGGCCATGTTGCTTGTCAGACTTTTACACTAACAGGGACATGTTAATAACTCAATATATTTTTGCTAGCTATGGATAAGTTCTTAAGTGTGTGTGTGTAACTAGCATTCTTACTGTTTTTTAATTCAAACATCTGCAAATTATCAAATTCTGAGCATTTTTTCTTGCATCTGTCCTGTTTATAAATATTTTCTTATAGAGAGAGACTGGCAAGAGTATGGGATCATCTAGAGATTGTTGATTTGCTGGACAGCGAGGACACAACTAACTTGGCACTTTTGACAAGGCCAGAGCTGGGAATTACATTCACAAAAATCCATTGCTGGAACTTGACGCAGTATAGAAAATGTGTGTTCTTGGATGCTGATACTCTTATTATTCAAAACTGTGATGAACTTTTTGAAAGAGATGAGTTGTCTGCCGTTCCAGACATTGGCTGGCCAGATTGTTTTAATTCTGGTGTGTTTGTATTTGAGCCATCCAGAGCAACGTATGAAGCCATTTTAGAATATGCTATTCAAAATGGGAGTTTTGATGGTGAGATCTTTTTTTCTGTCGTGTCAGTACAGTAACTTGGCCTTACTGTAGGTCATTGCCATTCTTAGACCCCAACATATTCTACATACTCATGTCTCCATTATACAGGGCTTCTGATAGGTTTGGATGAAAGTTAAATTTTGCGGGATTTTCAGAGACAGATTCACAGATAAAATTGGCAGATTTTGCGGGAATTTTGTGAAAATTTTCAGGACTAACTTCACCAAAAAACAAATTTCTTGGGAATTTTTTGGGCAAATTTCGCTAGAAATCAATTCATGTTGCCCTGATTTGATCAGCACGTTTAAATGTTTTTTAACAGAGATAATCATTTGCTATTTTAACAACAAAGCTCTCTAGAAGTGAGCCAATGGCAAAGCTTTTAACATCATGACTAGTCCCCAGTTTTTCGCAACATAATTTATGCCTGGTAGCAGGGTTGTCACTAAGATTTCAAGTTGCCGGGTAAATACAACAAGTAGGTGGGGAATCAAACGGCTAGGGATTTCTTTTGGCTCTATTTTTCTTCTATTTTCCAATAAAAGTAGAAGGGGGCCACTCTCTTAGTAGCTGGGGAAAATCCCCGGCCCCCTGCTCTTAATGACAACCCTGCTGGTAGTTTTGGGAAATTGTTCACTCGTTGTGGTGATAGAAATTCAAGATAAATTTGCAAGTTTACAGCAAGTATGATTCAACCCCATTGGCCAAGATAAGTTTCAAATATGTTGTATCAACATGTATTTAATAAGATTTCTAGTGAATTTTCCAATATATAGTGTGTTGCCATGAATTTTGCAGGATTTTGCAGATTTACCTGAATTTTGCGGCTCCACGGCCGCACGAAATATCAGAAAACTGATTGTAATTTATTATTTCCCATGAAACTGATCTGGAGAATAGGCCATTTCTGAGTTCTCCCGGGCCTCTGTATCAAAACAAGGTTACGTACTCAGCCTTTGATATGGAAATGTTTTTCATTCTCTTGCAAATAAAACTCATTTTCACAAGAAAGGTTGTGCACTTGGCCTCTTTTTGAAAGTGAGTGTTTTTGGAACTCGGAAATGGCCTATTGAACAGTTTTACTTTAAGATCAAATCACAACCACACAAATCCTTCTAAATTTGACTTGGGTCTAAACGTTTAGACCCAAACCAATTTTTGGCAAGTAGGCGTCTTGGACATTGTTCTTTCAGAATATCTTGACAAATCCCATAATTTCACAAATTTAATTTTTTGTGATTTCACACTTTAGTACTCTATGTCTAAAGGCTTGTACCTGTGTGCACCTGTGATTGAGGCTATGAAAATTGGTACTTAACAAGGCATCCCTTTGATGTACACGTAGAGCCCTTGAGGTGTCAATGCGATGACATTGAACCAAAGCCACAATAACATTGACATTTGGTCAGATCTTATAATGTCAAACTAAAATTTGCCCATTAGCTCCAAACAGAGCTTTGGGGGAGCAGTTTCAAGGACTTGAATCAACAGTGAAATGAATAGTTGTGAGCGGGGTAAGTTCAAAAATGAGTGCTGAAAGCACAAACGTATTGGGGCATCCTCCGGGAGCATGGTCAATACCCAGAGTTGCATCGACTGACATCCGTACAGGTTGTCAAAACGTCGGTCTCTGCCATCAATAGTCCTATTCAAGACTACATTCACCCGTACGATCATGCTCCACCCACTTATGAAATGACTCCTGGGTTCAAACCTTTCACAATACTATGTTATTACAATTTAATTCAGAAACTGTGTTTGTTTGTTTGTTTGTTTGTGCATTGAGCTTCCTTCCATTTAAATGTTAAAGCACCGCATTTTAGCTCAGAAACTATTTTTTTTATGGCATTCTTTCAGGTGGAGACCAAGGACTACTTAATTCATTCTTCAGTGATTGGAGAACATCAGACATCTCCCGACATTTGTCATTTATCTACAACATGAACTCCAATGCTAGTTATACCTATGCTCCAGCTTTCCAACAGTAAGATAAATAGTATTAGTATTTTTCTTCTTGAGATTGTGTATGGGAACATCTGGGGGGACCTTTGAGTGCTATTTGCACCAATCCCTATTAAGTTGGAATGAGTTGTACTTCCCATTTTATTTTACTGATTGATGTTCAGCTAAATCGGTCAATGAAATTTCGCTTTTAAAAATTTGTATAGTCAGTGACCTCCTGTTACTTTTAATCTTTGTACTGAAGCACCTTAATATTATTAATTAGTAACAATAATATTATCAACTAACCTATCTCTTTTCAATTCCCTCAGGTTTGGAAGAGATGTGAAAATTGTTCATTTCATTGGTCCCATCAAGCCATGGCATCACTCCTACAATCCTGCAACTGGCAATGTGAACGTGCCATCCAGTAGCAGGGGGTATGTCCCACATGAGCGCACCTTCCTTCAACTGTGGTGGGACATCTATGCCACTTTTGTGGAGCCAGAAATGAGGGTAAGTGATCACTCTTTTTTTTAATTTTGGAGCAAAGGATTGGAGGGTGTCGGTTACCAGTAAAAGTGTGATTGGTGCTCAGCATATACTTCCCTGAGGCTTATCCAATGGTTAAATTCATGGTTCCATTGCATACCACTTGTCAGAACTGGACAGCCACAATGTTCTGTTTTT